GCTTTTCTTGTTTATACCTCATGCGGGCGTTTTTTTATGGCAAGATGGCACAAGTGGAAGTGCCTTCACAGTTTTATGGTTTCTCATATTAAATCATCATAACTCTGAAGATTTTTTCAAATTTATAATTAATATACATAACTTAAGGAATACAAACACCAAATTAGGCTCTATTTAGTTCCCTTTTAACGTTCTGCCCGGATGCGCGTGCGCTGTGACTGGTTGTTCTGTTGTTATTAAATGTACATTTATGTGTTCCTGTTAATAAAACAACGCATGTGCAATGTTATCGCAGCAGATTGCGATCCTCTATTGATCAGTGAGCGACATTTGTAAAACCAGAATAAATGAGAACACAGGAAGTCACAATGCGTTTAAATTCAAGTATCATTTAAGATTGCTACAAGGCTCATGTTTTTTTTAAGTGACATTAACATGTTACTGCCACACGTTCTAGTTACCTGACTGTTGTTGGGTACAGCTCTGCCGAGAAGACGTACACAATAGCAAAGGATCCAGCGATGAAAAATTTACCAATCATTGCAAATGTAGTGGCGATATTAACGTTATCTATGATAGAATCAATCAAGATTAACAGTACATAAAATCACAGTCCAATCAATCTAAGAATATTTCAGGTATAGTTAGAAAATAATTGCAATAGAAACGTTGTTTATAACATACTAATGAAAGTCCAAGAAAATCCGAGAAACAGGACATGTCTAAAATTGATCCTAAATTTCTTTAAAGATGTAATGTTTGGTTAAAAATGATTTTAATTAATCTTTACAGGAAGCTTTGAGTGAACATTGGTTTACATCCAAAATAAATGTATTGCCTAAATCACCAAAATATATGATTTTTGGTCAAATGAATAAATAAATAATAAAAATTTCAGCATTAATAGCTGTCGCAATCCCAGTATACTGTATTCACGAATGAGAGCGACACGACCCCCCCATAGTAATAGTCGACCATAGGTCACATATACAGTGGACATGTTGACGGTAGGGAATGGAAAACTTTATGTGTGTTGGTGGGGAGGAGTGTTAATATATGTGTTGCAGTTCTTTTACTCTCGGCGACTATTTGAATTTCAGGTATATTGCAGTTTCCATGAATGACGTATGTTTGAGGTTAAAACAAATTGATGGATTATTAAAATGTTTTCGGAAGATCCGAGGTGTGGAAGGGGAAAAGTAGTTAAAAATTTACACCTTGATTCACAAAATCCGCATTTTATTGAAACGATATCTTCATATGTTGTAGTAAGTGAAAAGAGGATTTCATTCATTTATTTTGCAATGAATTTTATGAATTCTTGTACCCACATACAATTTTTAAAAAACGAAAGATCAGATACTACGCGCATGGTTGGCGTTTGTCGAAATACAACAAAACCAATTATTTGTTATGGTGCATTTACTTATAACTAATACTAATCAAGGATGCATACACTCAGATATGCTAATCAAAAAATTAAGACCCCCGAAGCATGTTCACATCAACATTTTCACATTATTATGCTTCAACGTAGACAAGAACAATGCAGCTCATCGGTTGAATGACACCAATATTGCAATGCGAGTCCTACGTAAATATGAACAGTGTGTACAATATTAACCTCACCTGGCGGAACACTGATGATCAGAGCTATCCCTCCGAACACCATATATGAACACAACAACCATCGACGACCGACTTTATCAAGTAAATACCAGCACAAGAGGTATGACGGGAATTCCACTGCACTGTACACGAGGTATGTTATGTATGGATTTGTTCCCAGTTGATCAGTATTCAAGGCTATTCCATAGTATACAAAGCTGTTGGCGAACCTACAATAGAACGAATTAGTCACCAAAACCGTGTCTATATATTGCGCCCTCTAACGTTGTCACCAAAACCGTGTCTATATATTGCGCCCTCTAACGTTGTCACCAAAACCGTGTCTATATATTGCGCCCTCTAACGTTGTGGCGCTTCTTTGAGTAAATGGATGCTTCGATATTGTTTTGATAGGTTGTTGTTAATTGGTTTTATATTGCTGCCCACGTTTTCTATTTGAACGGCATTTCTCACATCCGTCTACGTAATTTTGACGTCATGGCAGCGTTTCGTCGCTAGAGGGCGTTCCTTTGTTTAAACAATACAAATAAATATATAAATGGGTTGCTGTTTCTGTACACACAAAAAACAACTGAAAGCGATTTTTATATTTCGTAAAGAAGAAGAAAAATTAAATTTCCGAAATAACTTGCTAGAATTTACAAGATCTGTGTTGATAAATTAGTTACTACTTTAGAAGAATTTCTGATAAACAAAACTATCGTGTGATTTGTATAACCTGAATTAATGAACGACTGTCTATATAACGGCACCATTTCAAAACACCAATAATATACAAACGAACAGAGGTTATCTATGTTCAGACTACATACATTTCGTATTGTTGAACATATTCATCATGTAATCGCCGCCGAATCGAACAGACGTATTTGAGATACTGAGTTACATTACCATGACCTACCAGTTAAAACATATGTTAATAGTTCGATTTCGCAGGTTTGGAGTTTTGAATAAATCCAGCATTGTGTCTTTCTTTACTTGGTGTAGATCTATTGAAATCTGAAATAAATGAGCAAAACGTGCAGTGAATGAATGAACGAATGAATGAATGAATGAATCAATCAATCAATAGTTCGAATAAAAATAATCACACACAAACAACATACACACGCACGCACGAAAGAAAGCAAACGAGCCAACAAACAAATGTGAGCACACACACACAAAATAAAACAAAACAAACAAACCTTATCTGCATTGCCCTCTTTTGCTTTTGCCGCCATTTCCCGTTCTTCCTTGAACATATCTTCTGGTAAGGACACTTTGTTCGTTTTCGCAGCTTTGTTTAAAATTCTCTCTGCCTTGTCATACTTCTCTTTTTGAATCAACCATCTGACAGACTCTGGTACCAACCTACAAAAGACATATTAAGTCTATTGATGTGGATGCATTCTGGGATGGAATTAGAGAGAGACAGACTTGTATTTGTGGGATCGCACATACATTTTCTGTCAGACATGTCTATATGACACGTAAATGTTTCTGAATTTTTAACAGTTCTGTATTTTTAGGAATTGAAATATGATTCGTTCATTTAATGAATACCAAAATGTGTATTGCGAAACAAAAGTTTATGTTCATGGTAAATCATAATCCAAAATACAGTATTAAATAGAAATATAACCAGGTGGTTTTAAACCCTTAGCTTTGTGACAAATAGTGGACATGGCAAGAATGTGTTCAATCAATGCAACTGACTTGGAAGCCAGTGAGTTAGTCAGTCCTCTGAATGTGAGAGTCGGAAATTTATCTCTGGTCATCACCTGAATGCTTGAGTAAAAGTGCGTCATCAGCTGGTGGTCGTGGGGCATGCGACTGTATGCTGCTTTTTGGCAGCACAACAAACACATATCTGTTTTGTGTTCCCCCGACCTTTGGTGTTCTGAAATACAATACATGTGCAGGGCTCTGACTGGACAATGCAGCAATCTCTTCTGGTTCTTCATGGGGACAAACATAGAAGTTGCATCAAATTATGTTTATTTTTATTTTTGCCAGGGTGAACAAGAAAACTGTTTGTAGTATAGGTCAAATGTTCGACATAAAAGGGCTTACGTAATACATACTAGACTGTTTCTCCAGTCTACGACCCTGGTTTAGTCGTGTAACGTTTAATTGATGTGGGCGAAATATCTGCTACTAAGGGGACTGATGGTTCTAATGGACCTGTCACCCACCAAATCATTCACGAAACCGTCACCATCCATACTTATTTGAAGCAAAACATTGTTATGTTGAGTTATGGCGATATTGTTGAATGCTTGGCTACAGGATCTTCTAGTTGATGACATCACCGGTTAAACATAAGTATTAGGACAATAAGCCTTACGTAAAGGTTCATCGATGCTGAGAATATATTATGCACGTGTTGCCAAACTTTCTATACTACACAGATATTCAGACTAAGATTACAGAGAATATGTAAAAATAGACAAATCACTACGATTTACCGATTGCTAAAACTGAAACGAGGAATGTGCAAGATCCTTTGTTATTACTTTCAGTAAATCCGACAACTATGATTCTTAAGTGAAGCAACTAATTGTTAGCGGCAACTACTATAGTATTTAAATCCCGAATGTCCTAATTTAGAATGCAACAAATCCACCTCCAAGTACAACGTGATAAATATATTAAGCTCATGAAATATCAACCGTCCGCAACCCAATAACGGTTATATTATACAACCACGCATACTCACATGTGCACATATAGTTCCTGCCCAGAATTCGCTTTCACGGTGTCCACATAAATTGTCACGCGACAGAAACTATCGTTACAACATGCTTCGAGCTGTTCAGTATGAGATGAAATTCTAGAACGACTCGTAGGCAGATTTCATATTGATCGAGTTTATCGTCGGACGACGCTGTGTGACTTACTGGCGTATACAAATGTATCACGTGCATGAAATATTCAAAACTTATATTGGCAATATACTGGAAATATAGGATAGTACAACAAATTTAGTAAAATCCAATTTATTTTCAAAAACTCAGTTGAGGGTAAACTATGTGGTCCTTGACAAAATAAAGTGTATTGTGTAAATGGGCACCGTGTTACGCCATCTTGTTTTCGTAAGCACTCACTGTCGATGGTATTGCTCAGTTTTATCAGTTAGTTCCCTTTTTAAGGAATGAATCCTTGTAGATCAAATACAGTGTACTTACATATTTATAAAGTATGATCACATTATTGCTATACCATAAAATTGATAATAAATTTCTCCGCGACTAAATAAAAAAAAAGCTATTTATTGCATTTTAATTTATTACTATGTCATTTTTCAAATATACATCTACAATATTCAACTTCTGAATCAGTAGATAGGATTATCGACCGAGAATCGTTTCAATGAAATTTGGTACCGAATTCTGGCGATAATATTCAGTCTTAAAGTCTCTCCAACGATTAAACCGAGAGATGATGGTATCAATGGATGTGACTGAACAAATAATCACTTTGATATTTATATATTTTACCTTGTCAATCAGAGGCGACGGCACGCAGAAATTTTTATGAGGAGCGAGATCTGCTCATCATCCCTTATTAGGGGGTTCAGAAGCATGCTCCCCTCTTAAACGTTATTTCCTGCATTTAGAGGGGCAAATTTTGCTGACACAAAGGGTTTCAGCTTGCTTTTAGAGGGGGCGACGACCCTCCCAATTTTTTTTCGAGAGGGCGACGGCCCCTTCTTCCCCATGTGCCGCCGCCACTGTCAATCTCAGATCTCAGATCAAAAGTGCAAGTAAATTCTCTAAAGGTGAGTGAACTTACCAAATATAAGGAATGAAAAACACAGAGAGCAGACCACCAATCAACTGAATTTGTCTCCAGTTACCATCCGTCAGCGCAGCACAAACTCCCAATACGATCAGCCCAGAGGCAGCAAACAACATCGTACAGATGCTACAGTCAGTTCTGTATGAGGTGCCAACCAACTCTACCACTGACAACAAATATGGAAACGTATGTTTTTACATAAACAAAAACAGATAAACACTGCGGATAACCACTTACTGCCAGTGTAGGATTGTCATATCAATGCACGCTTTAATAATAAATAATTATACTCTTTATTGTCACATTGTTATATTAACTCCTTATTACGACTTACCGATGACGAATGCTACGAGAAAGACAGCAATAGAAACGACACCAAGTAGAAATTGACATATAATAAAGAAAGGATAACTAGGAGAGAAGGCTGCGATTACGCCAACAACGATTGATGTCATCAGGGTAAAAATAAACATAGGTTTCCTACCAAATCTAAGAATTAATAGAGAACACGTTATTGATTTATTTATTTATTTATTTATTTATTTGTGTGTTTGTTAGTTAGTTTGTTTGCTTGTTTATTTGTTTGTTTGTTTATTTATTTAAAATAACTATTTAAAATAGTTATTAATACCTGTCATCAAAATGCTGAAAAAATACTGACTGAACACAAATTAAAACAAAACTCAGGCTTCCGTAACCCGGGGATAGTATATAAACAACTTTGGATCGCATACTTGTGTGATCACGGCTTATACGCAAAGGGTAAATACACAGCGCCATTGAGAGTATTGGTTTTGAGATAGCGTGTGCACTGTATATTCTCGTAATGTAAATATTAATGAGTGCAGAATGCTGACCATAAAATATGTGCTTCGCTATTGATTAACGTTTCGGAATAAAAATAAGACCCCCTAGACCACCTAAGTTTGATTTTTGTTACACTGTGAAAAACAACTGCAATTCAAGCAAATAGCGATGAGTAACCATAGAAACAATTTATTACCACTCTTTTAGTAGGAAATCGTACTGTGGGGTCAGATTAGAGTTGACTAGTATTTATTTGTACTGCAGGAGATACGATCTTGTGTCTCTTAACGTGTCAACGATTTTCAGCGTGGTTGTTTCGGCTTCCAATTGGATTTAGCCCGAGGTGGTTTGACGTGCTATAAAATCATCTACTTGTAGTCATTGTTAGTGTAACGCCCACAAGTTTTAGTCAGTCTTGTAAATATCATGATTTAGTCAATCTTGTAAATACCGATCAATTCTTAGGCCTCGAGATCATTACAAGACGCTCACATTAATTGTGAACATTACGTAGATACACCGTTTAGTAGTTGCTATTGACTACATTATAAATGCATGAAAATATACCGTACATATCAGACAGCTGTCCTATTACGATACCACCAACTAGATTGCCAAGGGGCACAATGGATTTCGATAATTGCTTCATCCAATCTTTCTCACATACCAAGTCAAACTGAAATACATAACATGTATCGCATTGTACTGATGTTAATATAGTACAGATGTAAGTTGGATGTCCCGCTCAGTGTTTGCAAGGAACACGCTATGTTTGATGAGCGTGTGCAATATAATGAGATAAGATAGGGTTTGATAGCACTATTGGTAGTTGCTGGTCATTCTATGTGAAACAGTGACACCATTATGAGCATTTGACATGCTAATGCATTGTGTACTTATCTATAAACAAATCGAATCTCGCTACTTGTAACTCAGTCTTGCATCACACCATCCATCAATTTTCAATCTATTTTATATATTTACGTTCAATCTTGTTCGAGATCTTGAAATTTCCTCCCAAAAGAATATTTTCTTATACCATTCTATTATATCCGTCAACATATTTTCTCTCAACTTACCTCGTGTACCACGGTGTTTTCGTATACCGATGTATCATATACCCATCCATTATCACATTCAAGTGTACCAGAATTCTGTGAACACAGTTCGGGTGATATACCCATCGAAACGTTGACGTCATATCGACTGCACGAGTCCCACGCTTCGTCCTCAGCATCGTATGGAATCGTACAGTTTTTCAACGGAGATGTGTCATGGAATTTCTGGTTGTCGTAAACTTTACAGTAATGATCGGAAGACGCGCTCATAAACGTATTAGCTTGTAGGAAATACGATGACGGTATGGCTACCAAGCATACCAAAACGAATTGAATTTTTTGATATCGTCCAAATTCACCCAAAATAACTAAAATATCGTCGAAATACATATTCTGTGGTAATCCATGAAATGTCAACTTAGATTTGCACCACCCCTTAATAATAGTCTCGTTTATCATTAACTTGCCCTACAAAGTATGTTGGTGGCGCGCTACGCTATGAATATGACGCAGATACTATTTTGTACATGTATAACAAAGTTTACATCGGGTTTTTACAATGCACCCCCTTTGTATAATACTGAATATTGTTTTTCCTACCGTCAGGTTCTTCGTACAACTAATTATTATTATGACAACTATATCACCTGTGTTGTTTGTTGGGAGGTTAGTTCTATTTTCTAATGGTATCTACGGAATGTTTTGCTCCGAGCAACTATATGACAGAGCTGTTTAGTACAAGTTTCTCTCAAAATACTGTATTCATAAATAATACGATGTGAAATAACTCCCCAAGGCTTCGTTCAGGCAACTTCTCTGGAAGTCACAAGAAATCCAGTCTCCATCCAAGAGCTCTTAACACAGGCAGGCTAACACCTCTGCCACACATGACTTTTCACGCTATGATTTGCTACATATCAATACACAGGCGTTGTTCGGTTATTCAAGACGGCGGCCCATACCCAGTTGGCAAGGAGACTATTAAATCTTTCTCTTCCCATACACTTTTCATAACTTTCATCTGCATTGGTTTCAATTCCACGTCAGAATTTTATTCGTTCAGAATACGTTTTAAAGTTCCCGCCATAGTCCAGGGCAAGGGGG